CGAAAAGAGCAAGCACTAGAGCAAGGAGGACACATACCTTCTGGAATCCCCTGGGATCCAGGATCTACAATGTCCCTATTCCCGGAGAAGTACAGCTCCTCTTTGGCGCTGCCTCAGTTTCCAGAATCAGGTGGTATGCTTTAACTTGTGGCTAGCTCCATCCAGCAAGCTTCTCCTGGGACAGTGTGGGCCAGGCCAGGCACTGAGGCTGAGCCTGAGCCAGGAGTAGAAGATGACAGTGTGACCTTTGTCCTTCATGAGACCAAGGAAACATTTTCTTACCAGAATGCTGTCAGAAAGCTGGAAGGAAGGGGTGCCTTGGGGACAGAGCCCTAATCACCCTTGGACTCTTGCAGACCAGCTGGGAAGGGAGGGACTGGAGCTTGAGAGTTTGAGTGTAGTCACTTGTGAAGGACTGAGGAGGGCTGTGATGTTCCTGACCCTGCTGCTTCTGGAGCGCAGCTCAGAAGAGGCTAATGGCAGAGATGTGCAGAGATGCAGGTGGCTGGACACACTTGAGGGTGTTCACAGATCCTTAAAGCAGGGTAAATCTCTGATAATTCCTTTTGGAAGTCTCCCTCCAAGTCACCCTGGGTTTCTGAGGTACTCTATACATGACCTGTTTCTATAGGGTCATCATATAGTCTCCTGCTATTTGATTGGGTCCTGGAAGAGTTGGTGGTCCAAAAGACTGTTGCATTTGACCCTAATGAGACTCAAAACACTGCCTTCTCCTGAGCATCTAGACCAGTTCTCAACCCCTTGGGGGGGGGCACATATCAAAACCCCACGTATCAGATAGTTACATTATGATTCATAATAGCACAATTACTGTTATAAAGTAGCAACAAAAATATTATGGTTGGGAGTCAGCACCACATGACCCTATATTAAAAGGTCGAAGCTTTAGGACAGTTGAGAACCACTGACAGGAGGGTGCATGGAGCACAGGTCGGGCAGCACAGCCTATCAGGGACTCAGGTGTGTGACCTGACTTGTCACAGGGAAGCAAAAGGGTGGTTTGGGGCTGTTCCTTTGTCCAGCAGGACATCAGCAGTCACTATGTCTGGTTCTGCTGGACCGCCAAGGAAAACCATCTTTCTCCTGTTGTTTTTCCTTCTCCTCTCCTTCCTCCTCTTGGTGATTGCCATTGACAAAGCCTTCTGCTGCCAAAGCTAATTGTAAGTTCTGATCAGTGAATGAAGGCGAAGGCAGTTCCCATGACAACCTCAAAGAGTTTCAAATATAGGGGATGATGTATGTGTGATGGGCTGCAATTCTTGGGGTGGAAATTGATGTGTGGCCACCAGGAAGCATAGGCTGCAAAGGTAGAGGTGGGTGGGGTTCAGGTTTTTTGCCAGGACCCTTTGTATGATGGAGAGGCAAGGAGGTCACAGGTTCCCCCTCAGTCAGTTCCTGGTGCTTTCAGTGGTGGGAGCTGTAGAGAGGTAGGGTTCTGGTTGGGGAAGCAGGAGACATAATCAGAGAGACAAACCCTAGGAGTTAAAAGAGTAGGAAGCACTAGGAACTGACAACAAGCTGAGGTAACTAGAAAAGGCTTCCTGGAGGAAGTGGGCTTCAGTTGAACAAGGAAAGAAAAACTCTGAAGAGCTACCTTGCTGAGTACAAGGCAAAGGAAGCTGAGACCTGTCTCTGGTCACCTGCTGGAAGAGATAGCCGGATGAGCATTGTAGGACTAGTCACAGTGGTCACTGCAAGAAGATAGTAGGAGTCCTGCTGGGTCACTTTCCAGCTCTGTGATCTTGAGCAAGGTGTTTAGAACTCTGTTGTTTCTCCATCTGTAGGGTAGGTATGAAAAATTCCTGGTGTGTTGGTTTCTTTTTAAGTTTAAGTAAGAACTTTGTGTTGTATCCCCACTTGTGGGGTCCCATGAGACTTGGCTCACTAGAAGTCTGCCTCTCTGGAGAGTGTCTGAGTTCCTGTTTGTCTGTGTGGAGTCTCGGTCTATGGATAGCCACGTTCTCGAGATTCTCGGTGTTTCCAGCAAGCAGTGGCCCCACTCCTGCAGACAGTACAGCAGAGTCTGGTTGGCCAGGATGGAAGATTGGGGAAGGGTCTTTGTCCTTACGCAGAGGAATCCCCAGTACCTCTGAGAGCTGGTCATTGAGGCCCACATGTAGAAAGAGGAACCTATAGAAATGAGGAAGGTCAGTGGGAAGTGAACTTCTGGCTCAGTGGCCCTGACATGTGTCTCTGACTGCCATCAGGAGCCTCTTTGGAGGGACAGTGGCTGGGATAGGAAGAGGATGGGAACAAGGGGGCTCCCTTGGTTTAGCCAAGGGCTGCTGGAGGGTAGAGTGGGGTCCTGAAGTTAGGGGAGCACAGAGTTATAGCACAGGGACATGGGGGAGCTCCTGTAAGCAGCGAGGAAGAGGCACAGTCCACAGGGGCAGGTCTTCCCTTTCTAGGAGAGTTGGCACTTGCCCCCAGCTTTAGGAACCTCTTGTAGAATAGAAGCCTGACCAGGAGAGGGGCCTCCTCATCTCAGTGCCTAGCCCTCCCCTCCACTACTCCACACTCCTGAGGCAGAACTCAGCACGTTCCAGTTATGTGTAGACCTAGGAAAGAGGGAAGACAGGGCCCCACCCACGTGGGGACAATTGTAAATAAAGAACTGCTTGAATGTTGTTCCTGGGCCAGGGAGGAGCCTGGCTAAGGCTGGGAAGGCTGGGTGACTGAGGGCCTGGCAGAGGGGAGGGAGGCTCTGAATTCAGCCTTGCAGTACATTAGCATGTGGGGGAGGGGGTCAGGAAGCAGCATTTGGAAGAGTGAAGATATTAGTATTCTCAGATCTGTTTGTCAGGAAGTGGTCACTTGAAGTGACCCAGTTGTCTTTTATGTCTTCCTGGGCTTGGGGGTGAGGGGTGTCAGAGGATGAAAAGGGTTTAGGTTTGAATTCCTGCCCACCAATTTTCAAGGGCAAATTGTTTAGTATTCTCCAATACTCTTTCTTTTCCTGAAAACAAGGCTGTATGTAAAATAAAATGAGATGAACCTACAACATGGTTGGCACAGGGCTTGGTATGTAGCAGGGCCTGGAAACACTGAGGCTGCCATAGAAGCAGCAGTATTGATATGTCCAAACTGTGTTAACTGTGTTTGTCTTTCTGTGTGGGGTGCATGGGTAGCACAGGGCTTTAGGGAACCAGGAGAAGGAAGAGGATTCATTTAGGATGGTCAGTAACCAGTTAAAAGACAAAACACTCCATTTGGTACATCAAGTCATGATTTAGGACATTGTCCCTTTATCTTGTCATCTGCCTCCCTCCCTGCTCTGGGAGGGACCCAGTAGGACAGCCTCTTGCCCCAAAGGGGGAGACAGGTGTGAGCCCTGAAGCCTGCATATACCAGAAGCAGGCTTGCCCGGATCCTAAAGAACTTATCTGATTCTGAACACCCCCTGGGGGCCTGGGGTGGGGCACAGTTATGCATTTGGGATGGAATGGGTAATAGAGCGAGTCACTGGAGCAGGGGTGCTCATCCGTGAGTCACTTCTCTCAGACCTCAGCTTATTCATCTGTGAGAATGAGAAAGCACCCTGAGCTCTGGCAGAAATGTAGAGCTGGAAGCCAGCAGTACCTACCTTGTGTCAGGCAGTGGCTCTGTGCCGGCTCAGGCTCTCCCAGCTGTATGAAATGGCTGCTGGTTCCATTCTACAGATGAGCAGAGAGAGGCTAAGAGAGGTAAGTTACCACAGGCGAGGAACGGGATATGTGGATACTAAAGTGTATGTGAGGTAGAAGCCATCAGAGAGGGGACGGATGAAAGAGATGCCTAAGGGATGCCTGGGTATTGAATCTCAGAATGTGAATTGCTAGGACCTTGCTATCCACCTCCCCGCTTTGGTTTCCTGGCCACCGCACCCTTGGTATGCTTATAGTTAGAGAACTAGAAGGAAACTCTTAAGGGCGCAGAGCCCAGTACGTTTTTGGAAGTAGCACCTGGTAGATCTTCTCCAGAAGAGAAAATGGTTTGAGAAAATTGCATTTCAGCACTGTTCGGTAGGACGGCTATACCGGGAAGGGCATAGCCGACTTGGGGAAGCACAGGCTGGTATGAGCTACAGCCAGTTTTCCAAGTGGGGTATAAGGGGGCAGGGGAGTAGGTAGAGCTATAGAATGGCGAAGGATATGGTCTTCAGAGAGGACTGACCTGGCTTGGAGTTTGGGCTATGCTGTGTTCTAGCGGTGTCACCTTCGGTAAGTTACTCCACTCATCTGCAGTCTGCAAAGCGGGGGCGGGGTTGGGGGATGTGAGGCTTCTGCTGCCCTGGATTCTCCTTGGGAGGACCAGAGCTCCAGCTCTCCTCCGGTTATGAGTGGCCGGTATGGTCCACATACTGCCCCCTACCCGCCCCAGCTCCGCCATACTCCAGTTGCACCCGCTGGAAGTGCAGGGACGCCTTGTGTATATTGCCGGGGGGTAGGGGTGCCCCGGGATCCCCGGCCTGCCTGGGAAGGCAGCCCTTGTGGCGATGGCTCCCTTCACCAAGGCCCCTGCCTGGCTGCTGGGCAGGTCCTTGGCGGGGAGGGCCGGGCGCGGGATTGGCTGGCGCGCGCGCCGCCCCCTTGCACACCAGCCTGGCGGGGCGGGAGCAGCCGGCAGCTGGCCGCCGCCTCTGCAGTGCCTCCCTCGGTGCGCTCCCTCGGCGGGGATAATGGGAGGCCCGGCGGCGGCCGATGCAGTACTGGAGGCCGGCCGAGGTAGAGCGCTGGGCCTGGAGGGGAGGGGAGGCCGCGTGCAGGCCGGGAACGGGGCCCTGGGATCTCCAGAGGCCCGAGAATCGAAGCAGGAAAACAAAACACTGGAAGGCGCAGGGGCCCATCAGCGCTGGGGAGGCAGCTGGAGCAGGAAGCCGGTCCCGGCAGCCTTTCTTCTCCCGGCCCCTTCCCCTCCAGTGCGCTGGGGCCTGTGCAGGACTGCTTTGCGCCTTGCCTGCTGCCAGCCTGTCTCACCAGTGTCTTTGGCTTCTTTTCCAGGTGGAAATAAATGCTCGTGAAGGAACGGGGCCCTGGGCACAAGGGGCGACTGTCAAGGTACCCTGCGTGCTTGTGTGTTTGTGTGTGTGTGTGTGTGTACGTGGGCGCGCGCGGTGGGGGTGAAGTGTTTGACTGGATTGGATAAAAATAAAGGGTCTCCTCTGGTGATCCCTTAATCTCCCACTGTGTGTGTGTGTGTGTGTGTGTGTGTGTGTGTGTGTGTGTGTGTGTGTAGCAGCAGCTGAGGGGGAGGGGCGGCGGGAGTGTGGGCGGCCAATGAATTCTCAGGCCTGTGTGGGTTTTGTTTGGATTCGTTTTGCTTTCTCAGCTGGATGGTTTGGGTGCAGTTGGGGTTTGGTTTGTTGAACTGTATGTATATGTGTGCGCTCCGTGTGTGTGTGTGTGTGTGTGTGTGTGTGTGTGTGTGTGTGTGTGTGTTTTAAAGACGTGTAACCCACTTCCCACCCCTGCCTCTGGAAATCTCTGGAGAATGGCCCTGGCACTGTTGGTTTGCATCCAATCTGCAGAAATCCCCGGGGTGCGTTGTCGCGGGGAAGTGGGGGGTGAAAGACAGTAAGGGGGAGGGAGAATTGCACTCCTGAGTCTGAAGCTGATAGGGTGTCATTAGTCATGCTGCTGTCACCATGGAGATGGCTGGAGAGAGGAGAGGAGGTGGTGGGGGTGAGGATATTTTGGGTAGGGTGGGGGCTGATGCAACATCATGGCTGGGAAGCCAGCGGGTGTCTGCTGTTATTCTGTGCCACTTGGTGTCTGGGAGACTGGGAAGGCAGTGTTCCCTGATGTGAGGGAAGCTGAGAAAGGGGCTTTGAGCCGGTCCAGGTGGGTTTTCAGAGGGTGGTGTAGGTCATTTGGGAGGGGAGAATGAATAGTTGGAGGAGGAGGAGAATCTGATCACTAAGAAGCTATGACTAATCCTCCTAGGTTAGCCAGGACCAGATCAGTAGATTCCCTTCTAGTTTGCCCCAGTTTACAGGGCCAGGGGCTCACTCTAAGTTTGGAATTACTCAGCAGTATCCTCTGGCCCCAGGAGATAGGGGGACTGGGACAGAAGAAAACACGGTGGCTGCCTCTAAAGAGCAGAGGTTGGGAGTGACTGTGGGGACAGGTGGGCAGGCCAGGCCCCGTGGGCGCTCCTTGCATAGAGGAAGCCCTGAGCGTAGTTGCTTAGGTAGCAGGTGGGCGAGCTGTGAGTGTCCCTGCACGCTCCTAGTCTTTCTGCAAATCTACCTCCTGCTTCCTGGGAAAGCTGTGGGAAGCTCTGAGGAGGTGCTGGAAATGGCACTCTGCCACCTCACTGTGTGGTGACACTGACAGGGTGGGGTTCTGCTTCCTCCTGTGTGTTGGGGGTTCCCGGGCTAACTCACAAGGTGGATATGAAGGCCAGGGTTATTCCCTGGCCTCTTCCCAAGCAAAAACTTGAAAAGGGATATGTATTTTTGCTTTTGAAACAGCTTCTTAGGAAGGAAGAGCCCAGTGACGGCTCTCTGGGGGAGTTGGCATGCCTTGGTGAGTCTGGGAGTTGTTGGTAGTCATCTGGGAAGGAATTGTGGGGGACCCCAGGCAAGTAGAACCATTGGTGATACTGTTTGTGCGTGCACGCTGGAGAACCATGAGCTTACATTGGCTCACTTACGCTCTTGGGAGCCAGAATCCAGTTTCCTACCTCCGCTTCCTTTGGCCACCCACTGCTGGCTGGGGGAGTTGTAGTCACCCGGTATGCTGTTCCAGGACTGTGGGCACTGGGGATGTTAAGATTATGAGGGAGAATCTTCTGTCCCCTAACTTTGAAAGCCAGACAAAAGGATGCGGACACATGGGCTCAGGGAGAGGGGGAAGTTCCCTCCTTCTGTACCTACTTCCTTGTCTGCTTACTCTCTCAAGCACCCTGCTTGCCTGCTCTGTGGTGATGGCTCTCCATGGCAGACCTGCTTCTTTCCACTCCACTGGCATGTTCTCTATTTCTGCCACCTGTTGTGCTACCCTGGGGTGTAGCCAATACTCTGACCCCAGGGTTAGGAAAATCCAGAGAAAGCCCTCTGTAGGTCCTCCCCTACCTTGTTCTCAGGAGCTTCATTCCTTTTGTCCCCAGCATGGATCTGCTTAGATTGAGTTGCCTGCCTAAGAACCATACTTCCTCTCAGCCTTGATGCCACAGTACTCAGGTCTGAGCCCCTGTTTCTGGCTCTGTCTTCTCTGCACGTTGGATTTCTCAGGTCCCCTGTTGGGACAACAGCTTTGCCCACTCTATTATCAGGTCATGGTAAAAGAGCTCCTCCTGTGGTCAGGATGAGTGTGTGTGTGTGTGTGTGTGTGTGTGTGTGTGTACGTGTACATATGTGTGCACAGGTTCCCACAGGATGGGGATGGGAGGGGTAAGCCCCAAGGGTGAATAGTGTCCAACAGTCAGAAGAAATAATGCATGTCTCCTTGTGTGCTAAGTGCTGCCAGGAATACTCTGATGCGTGGGTGTACACAGTCCTGGCACAGCCACAAAGCTTAGCTTGATGAATGCAAGTTGTCGGTTTGCTGTATATTGTGCTTCATGTCGTTTACTCATGATATATCCCAGGGAATATGCCATAGCATAATACCCTCTTGCCGCCTCCTTCCCCTCAGCCTCCTGGACAGAATACAGTGAGTGCCCAGTGCAAGAGCACCAGACTGCCCTGCTTTTGGGCTCCCACACTCTGCCTCATGGGAGCATTCACTCCACTGGCTAAGGATGTCTAGAAACTATTTTGGTACTGGGCCCAGGATCTTTGCCTTCTATCTCTCTTTTTGACCACCCCAAAAATGTTCCGTTGAGAATCTGCTCCTTTTGACTCTTGATCACTCCTGGTTGCTTCTTTCTGTCTGTCCTTCTGCTCTTTACAAGAGTCAAGGAGCCCCTTCTCTCTGCAGTAAAGCTGAAGACAGGAAGGCCTATCAGGCTAGAACAAAAAAGAAACCAGTTCAGAGGATGGCAGATTTGAGTTGGAGAATGGAGAGGGCTTTTCCCATGCTTGGTAGGAGCTGGGGCTAGTCACAGAGCTCAGCTTTACTGCTTTGGTGACCCCAGTCATTTGTGAATGAATGTCGGAGAAGAGGAGGGACTGTGACAAAATATCATAAGCTGAAATAGGAGCCTTCTGTCCATCACAGTGCAGGGACCTGGGGCTGCATTCTGGGACCACCACCGATGGCTCTCTGACCCTCTTGCTGGGCCACTGAGGAGTGAGGAGGAGAGGCACATTGGGTGCTCATCTGCTTCTAGCTGCAGATGGACATTTCTGCTAGAAATGGGTTTTGTGGTTTTGCCAAGTTCCTCCCATACCCTGGAGGCTGTGGCAAGTGGTTTGGCTGGCTGGGGGGTCTGGGCTGGGAGTATGGCAGAGGCTTTGTTTTGGCTCCACTTTTGGGTCTCCCAATACTCTTAAGTCCTCTATTCCATCCCTGGTCTCTTGGGCTTTGGCCTCATTTCCTCCCGCACCCAGACATCTGGCTGTCAGCAGGACCCCCTGTTCCCGCCTCTAAGTGGCTTCTGAGGGGGAGGTGGCTTACTCTTGAGCCAATTTAGGAGGTCTGAGCAGACAGAACAGGAGTGGCTTTCCTGAGTAGAACCTGTGGCTTGGAATCTGTCCCCATTCTCACCCACTCTACCTCCCATTCTTTGTCTCTGTCCCTGAGCGTTCACATCTCCCATACTAAGTACAACATAGGAAAACAAAAGTTACTATTAATCTTACAAAGCCATTAGACACTAAGGTGTGGACGAAATTAAATTACTTCAGTTACAAGTGGGAAACCCAGCATTGCCAGTGTGTGTTCTGCAGTCAGCAGCTTTGGTCTCCACTGTGTTTGGGGCATATGAACTCCACACACCACAGACAGAACCTCTCTTCACTCCTTTGCGCCTGGCTTACTTTTTGAACCTCAGGGGACTTTCAAGAATCAACATTCCAGCCTTATTATTTCAAAGCTCAGTATGTCCAGGATCTGGTAATGGGTTAGGGTCTTGTGTTCTGAAATGGATAAGGTGGAGAGGATGCCTGGTGTTGGAAAGGAAGTGTTGGTTTGAGATCCTGAGGAGGCTGGATATAATACTGTGCCGTTCATGGGAACTTGAACATCAGTTTATCAATGTGGTCTCCTGGCTGTGGTGGTGCCCACCTTTAATCCCGGCACACAGGAAGCACACACAGGTGGATCTCTGGAGTAAAGGCCAGCCTAGTGCAGGAAGCCAGGGCTGCAAAGTAGACCCTGTCTGGAAAAGCTTGGGTTCTGGGGCTGGGGGATGTAACTTAGTTGAAGAACATTTGCCATGGACTCAATCTCCAATACGGCCAAAAAGAAAAAAAAAAGTCACCTGGTAAACATTTAACTAGATATAGTGGTGTATGCCTATAATCTCTCAACACTTGAAGTAGACCAGGAGTTCAAGGTTATCTTTGACAATATAGCTAGTTTGAAGCTAGTCTGTACTATCTTTTTAAAAAAGTTTGGGTCTTACAGACGGTTACTGCATCACTGGCTGAGAGGGAGCACGAGCAGCTGAGTTCTTTACTCATGGGCTCTGCCATTAACTATAGAGAATCACTTTAGAGTCCATTGCCATGGTTTCCTCTATAGCAGAGGGCTTGCCTTCCAAAGTTAGTTTTTCTCAAACTAAATCTAGAAACCGACCAGATCGGTTTTCTACTCCCCTCTCCTTTTTTTTTTTTTTTAAAGTTCCAAGATGCAGTCCCACTTTGTACACTCGGTTAGCATCTTGTACAGTTTGCCTCTGGTGTTGGGTACCATTCAAAGCCTCCTGAGCCTGCAGGACAGTTTCCACGCTCTTGCTCTTGGATGTCCTGTAACTGACAGCTTCTCTGTGTATGTGATGCTGGACTGGGTTAGACTGTGCACATCACTTCTTTGGAACTTGCCTCTGGCCCTCCATAAGGCTCTTGGTTTGTGAGCCTCCATCCCCTTTCTGGACACTGCTTCCCGACTCTTCCTCACCCTGCTGTTTGTTACAGAGAGTCTCTTGGAGCAGCCAAAAGGTTTACCTGTAC